AATAGCCGATACCCCCCCCCCTGCTCATAGGGAGTGCGTACAGTTGATCATAGTTCCTGGGCTCCCTGTGGTGAGATGGAAGTTCTATTTATTCACAGCTATGGAATGGCGATGTAATCCATGTACTGTCGCAAGCAAAAAGAGTTAGCCCCCTCACCCATAACACTAATCCTTACCATGTCCCTCCAGCCCCCTCCCCCATTTCAATTGTGTGTTCCCCCCTTTGAGTTCGCTGATTCCTAGTGTCCTTTGCGAATGGCAAGTAGGACGCAGGTAACTAGTAATCGTGATATTGTGAGGAAGGCGAGACGTACATTGCACTTTTTAAAGTTATCCGTTATTATCGTCTAATAATGTCTAAGTTAGACAGGTCTGTCTGGGCAACTATTGGGACAGTTCGTTTTCTCCGATATTATCAATAATATTGATAATATCATCTAATAATGTCTAAAAATGTCTAAGTTAGACAGGTCCGTCTGGGCAACTATTGGAACAGTTCGTTTTTCTCCGATATTAACGATATTATCGTCTAATAATGTCTAAGTTAGACAGGTCTGTCTGAGCAACTATTGGGACAGTTCGTTTTTTCTCTAATATTATCTTATCGTCTAATAATATCTAAAATGTCTAAGTTAGACATCATTTATTAGACGATAATTATCCGATAATGATTTATATGACATTGTCGCATCTTCATGCATATTGTTCCACTGGGCGGGAATTCCGACCCAAAGTCACGTGACTAAGTGACGTAATTTGAAAACATTCTAACATTCGTTTTCTGTAAACAAGTCTTCATTACGCCATGCCCATACATTCTGCCTGCTTAGACTTGCGTATTTGAGATCTTTCTGGCATTTCTCGCTGTTTCTGTGCACATTTATAACAAAGGAAACAGTTTTTTTATCCACCCAACTTTCGAGAGTAAAAGAAAACCCCTGCTTCAGGGCCACGAGCGTAAACGCTGCCGTCAGGTAACCAAGGGAAATAGAACAAGCAACGAGAAAGTGATGAACCAATCAGAATGCCGGAACCGTTACTAGTTACTTGCCTCGTGTGGCTTGGTATGCCATGACACTTGAGGCGGGAACCAGCCAACTCTTTGAGTCACTTGTAGTTATTTGGAGGGACATATTGAATTGCATTATGGGGTTGGAGTGTTAGGTTCAGGTTAGGGGTGACAAAAGGTCTGATATAAGTGTATTTCAACTACATTTCGCGAGACTGGTGATATTGATTATTAATTCTCTTTTTCTCTATGTTTAGTGTAATCATGTATTTATAAGATTATCTAACTCCATATTCATACGTATGTGGATTGAAAATTTAAATCTGTGTGAGTTTCATGCCTGTGCCATCAGAGCCAATTATGAATATGATGCGACATTGATGCACAGAGATTTTTCATTCTGCAAATAGTTGCTATAATTTAGGAATTTACAATTTGTTATAAAAGAAAATTCACATTTCATTAACAGAATTGGTATAGAAACAAAGTATGGCGTCTTCAGAATAGTGTATGCTTTTCTGTTGAGTCAGCAGAATACCAGATACGAGCATAACCAATTATGTCACAAAAAATTGTATTGACTTGGAGGGTGCATTGTTAACTCAACATTTTGTTCTGGGTATTGTGGTAGTAATTACTGTGTGCTTGATTTCGAAGGGTATATAATCTGAGGTTACATTACTGTTTCTGCTGTTTTTAATTGAGTGTATACATGTATACTAAATTTAAAATTGCCAGGGGTATTTGATTTAAAATTGCATCTTGAAATAATGAGAATTGCTATATTATAAGAATTTGTAAACCGCCTAAAACGCTGTTATGCAAGGTGATTTTACACAGATAGAAAATGCAAAAGGTGATTCTCAAATTGTCGAAGTCAGCCAAATAGCCAAAGATATTTCATTTGTGGGGAGAGGTGTCAACAGGCTATTTTCTCTGTGGCGTACATCGATTTTTTTTATTTGAAAAAATTTCTGTTTTTTGTGCCGGGATATATGATCCTACATGGAAGACCTTTTTTATGGTGAACTTTGCCAATTTGAAAACATCACTAATTACCAATTGGCAGGATTTTCAGCCATCATGTATTGAAACTTGTTTCATTTTTATTGTTCTTTGTTTCATTTCAGAATCAAAAGCAGTTGTATGCACTCGTTTGCGAAACTCTCAAATTCAGGGACATCATCAACACCATTGTCAAGGAAACAGCACTTTTTAAAAGAGAAAAATTTCTGAAGAAAAATCCTGTTCTAGCACAAGTTCTTGTTTACGAGTTTTTGTTTGGTAAAGGAATACGATGCAGCGGCAAGATGAAGAACGTTATTATGTCACACAAAGCGGCGTTACAAGCATCTCTGACCAGAATTAAAATTAAACAGCAAGTATCAAAGAATCAGGATTTACTACCAAAAGATGTCACACAACAAGGTATTTAATGCAAAAACTACTTACAAGATTGTGCCTGATTGGCTAGCCAACCATAACACATAATAGTTAGACCAATCAGAGAGCAGCTTGTTTGTTGGCAAGTTTTTTTTGATAATCAGATTCTACCTTGGTTTATATTGACTCAACTAAGGTGTTCACAGCACAGCAAATTCACAGGCATTGTTGAGATGGCTGCCTGTCTGCCTTAGTTTCATTCAAAATTTGTCTTTAGTTTCTACGTAATTCCTGTTAGACCAAATTGAAAAAAATTCACAAAAACAAAAACACTTCTGAGGTTTTTGCAAAAAATTAATGTAAAATTCAATAAGAATTTTAAAATTAAAATAAACAAGTTAATTGCCTGCATCAATTATAAACCAAAAAATAAAAATAAATAATTATAAGAAAATAAACCAGGACGTTTTCTTTTTTTCTGAGCCTTACATTGATATTTGATTTTTAGCCTCAAAAATTGAGTGTCCTGTGAGGAAAAAGATCTTAAGTGACATCATTAATTGGAATAGTCTATCAGAAAGAAATTGATGTAGTAGTAGTGAAGTATTTTATGATCATTACCAAGCCGTCAGTCTGCTGTGCTGCTCTTATTTTAACCCTGCTATTTAATAGTTATTGCATATCAGTATCAGTAGTGTGTGAAGGGCGCCCTCAATCTAAAGTTTCTTAAATACTAAAACAGTGGATTTGACAGTAAAATTGACAAAATGATCTGTTAAAGCAAACACATGGGTGGTTAGTTGTTGACTCCCATGTGCGAAGCACAAAATGGGAGTCTTTGCAGTTAGTGTGTCTGTATGTGTGTATGTGTGTATGTGTGTATGTGTGTATGTGTGTCCGACTGTTCCACTGCTATCTCAAGAACCATACATCGGTTTTTGATGAAACTTGGTGCATAGATGCTCTGGGCCAATGCGCAGATTTGATTAGGTTTTGGTAAAAATCCATGCTCGTTAATTACCTAATTTGCATGATAATTAGCTAATTTTTAGCTGTTCTATGACTGTTCCACTGATATCTAAAGAACCACTCATTGGATTTTGATGAAACTTGGTACATAGATGCTCTGAACATATGCGCAGATTTGATTAATTTTTGGTAAAAATCCGTGCATATTAATTACCTAATTTGCATGATAATTAGCTATTTTTTAGTGGTTCCATGACTGTTCCACTGATATCTAAACAACCACTCATTGGATTTTGATGAAACTTGGTACATAGATGCTCTGAACTAATGCTAGGTTTTGATTAGTTTTTGGTAATAATCCGTGGATACTAATTACCTAATTTGCATAATGATTAGTCAATTTTCGGTTTTTCCACTGATATCTCAAGTACTAA